AGGCTGGCGGATGGGTAGGGTATGCTTTTTTACGTTTTGGCTTATAGCTTCTTAACTAGCAGAGATACGCTTACATAATCTATTATTTGATAGAAGCGCCTAGTATTGCGCCTTCTAATAAAAAAAGAATTAGCTAATTCTGCCTAGTATTAGCTAAGTTATTAACACTACCTAGCAAAGTATACCTATTAATAGGTATGCTTGCTAGGTACCCCCCCTTTTTTAATGTTTTCTAGCCTCTAGCTTGTGCAGTTTAATAGTTACAACAAAATCTTTAACTACAAAAATATAGAGGTGGTTTTTCTCTTTCTTTTCAGCCCTAGTTCGCTAGAATCCATGTATTATTGATAAGGTTTTGGGGGGTACCCACGAAGGACGTTGGAGTATACCCATTCCGCCAGCCTAGTTATGCTAAACAGCTAAAATACGTATCCTTAAGAGCTTTAGCGCGTCTTAATGTCGTCAGCAAAGGAGGCATCAGATGCTCCAAAGAAGATAGGATCGCGATAGTCCTGTGGCGAAGTGAGGTACTCTTGTATCTCTGCCTCGTCAGTGGCTTGAGCCTGCAGGGCTCGATACTTTGTCTCCAGAATGTGACGCCACACCCTTTGAATAGATTCGACGTGTGCTTGGCCAGGGTTAGTTAAATGTGAAGCGTGGATAACGTGAGCGTGAGCTAGATTAGGTCAGTTATACTGCGTGAGGTAGGCAAGGTAGCCTACAAGCTCTTAATAGGTCTTCTTCTAAGCTTTGTTTAGTTCCTTAAGAGATTATTCTAGGTAATTTACTAGCATAGGCACCTCTAAAGGGCAGCTAGTAGAGATAATATTATACTTAGCAGCAACCTTATTAATATAAGCGTCCTAAACTAAGTAAATTATATGTGCACTAAGATCTTAAATAACATGTATGCCTAAGAACTACTTAAGTTCTCTAAGGTATTTTAGGCTATAGTGCTTATTAAGCTTCCTCTTAAACTCTTAGTGTAGATGTTTATTAGATAGGTAGAAAGCTATAATAATATTATTAATATAAACAAACAGGATTAACTAGCTATTTGCATAGACGCATAGAAATCTAGGTATAGGCGTTAGACCTAGAGACTTTAGTGTTTCTCTTAGATCCTTGTACTATAGAAGTAGTGATTCCTTCAATCTATACAGAGCTCTCAGCACCTGCAGCAGCTCTCTGTCCTTCTTGAAACTGTCTAGTGTTTAAGCGCAGAGCTTTTAATTAAGTGTAGTGTTAAGAAACACATTTAGTACGTTATACTAAAGTAGCTCTAATCTAAATTAATTAGCTTTTGTAATAAGTGCTTAAAACATTTAAGCAGCTAGTCTAGCAGCGTAGGTGTCTCTGTATAGCTGCTGTAGATCACTGCAGACAACAAGTCATGCCTTAAATTAATAGAGGTAGCTATCCTTATTAAACTTATATGTGAATACCTACATTAGGGGTAACACCTCTACATTAGCAGTCTCTACTATCTGTGTTGTCTTAGTAAAGCAGCCTTTGCCCTAGATCTTGTAATACTCTTTCTAAGTAGCTTGTTAAAATTACTCTCTAAATTAATAAGAGTTAAGCTCTTAATATAACTATAGAGGTCTTAATACCTATGTGTAGTGTATCTTTATTGTTAGCTTAGCCTTTAAGGCAGTTAAGAAAGCCTTAAGATAGTTGCTAACTAATACTCTGTATAAGACAGCGTGAGAGTGCCATCTCTCTGGCGCCTGGAGATCAGCATTTCGTTGTGTACGTTGTGGGCCTTTAATAACGTTGTCTGTGCTAAGATTAGAGTTTTAACATCTTAGAGTGTTATTCTTATATTAATTAGGTATATAGCCTTTAAGCTAGGTTGTAGAAAGATTATAAGTTTATAATATATATAGTTGTTTATAAGCTAGTTACTTATTAAGAGTATATTACTCTTATTCTAATTCTAAGGACAGAGAATTAGTTTATCTGTCTTATTAATTATAGATAAAAGTTTCTAGAGTTAGCAATCCTCTGTTATTCTGCTCCTTATTCTATTCTATTACTTTACCCCCTATCTAAGGCTCTGTAAGCGCAGATGTGTAAGTAGGCTGCTATTAACAGCGTTGTTGAGTTATTAAAAGATCTTCTATTACTATATTATTAGGCTTAAGCTCCTTAGGAAATGCTAGAAGCTTAATAACTTCTATAATTACTAATTTATAAATATATCCTTATAGTCCTTTATAGAACTTTATAGATTTAAAGACAATATCTTATATATATATAACCTAGTCCTTAGTAGGAAGCTAGATCCTAAAGATATTAGTTAAGTTGTAGCTAATAAGGTAGCCTATAAGCACTCTTAATTTAAGCTTGTCTGTGTGTTTAAGTAATTAATTAAGGACATAACGTGTTTCACAAGCGAGCGCCGCACCCAACCGAGCGCCGCACTCTCGCTGCCAGAACGCCGGCGCAACAACAGCGCGTAATGTCTCAACCACAACAAGCTCCTACACTCTATACTAAAGCTAATGTACAGCTTGCTATATCTAATATCTTAAGAAACTAAATTTAAAATATCTAACGTGCTAAGAAAGTCTATAAAGTGCCTAAATAAACAATCTAACACTAACACAATAGAACACACTCTTAACGCGACTGTGAGCTAAATGCAAAGCGCCTTACAAAGCTAGAAGAGGAGGCAGTTATACTACGTATACTTGAGGAATCTGCGCGTGGCCTACCCTCCTTAAAGGCAGACGTACAAGATATAGCAGATAAACTGCTAAGAGAGCGCGGCGCAAAGCCTGTTAGCAAGAACTAGGTTGACAACTTGGTAAAGCGTACACCAGAGCTCCAGAAGCGGTGGACCCGCCCATACGATCGCCAGTGGGCTGCCTGCGAGGACCCAGCAGTTATCTAGCCCTAGTTCACGCTTGTTTAGTCTATAAAGGCGAAGTATGGTATTATAGACAAGGATGTGTACAACTTTAATAAGTCTAGCTTCCTAATAGGCAAGATATTATTACAGCTAACCTAAACTATCACCGAGTGTCCCACATCACCGAGTGTCCTAAAACTTGCCAAGCCCTCTACCTACTCTCTCTCTCTAACATGCCTCAACTACCAAACGCGTTATTACTTAAACATGAAGGGAGGCTTCAGCTTGCTATTAAAGCCTTGAAATCTGGACAATTCTGAAGCCACTAGGCTGCTGCAGAGGCATTTAACGTTGATCGCTGTACACTCTCTCGTCATGTCTAAGGACTCACATTTTGCGCAGAAGCTGCCCCTAACTGCCAGAAGCTCACTGCGACTGAACAGTAGACGATCATCTAATACATACTCAACCTTAACTTGCAAGGATTTGCGCCCTAGCTGTGCGAGGTGGCAGATATGGCTAATAAACTGCTGGCTGTACGCGGTGGCAAGCCTATTAGTAAGTGCTAGGCTGATCGCTTTGTAACGCGCTTACCTAAGCTCAAAATAGCCTTTAATTAAGCAAAGGATAGGCAGAGAATACTCTAGGAGGATCTAGAGATAATTAGCACGTGGTTTAAGCTAGTGGAGGAGACTAAAGCTAAGTATAGCGTCTACAATAATAACGTGTACAACTTTAATAAGACTAGCTTCTAGATAGGCGTAATTAGCTCTATATAGGTTGTCACAGGTGCAGAGAGACGCGCCTAACCTGCGCTTGTTCAGCCAGGCAATTGCAAGTAGGTTACAGTTATCCAGAGCATCTGCGCTGCTGGGTACGCAACCCCACCCTTCATTATCTACAAGGGACGCGTCCACATCTCTGCCTAGTACAAGGAGGCTTTAATACTACGTAATTAGAAGCTCTTAGTCTCTAAGAATAGCTAGATAAACAACACACTTGGTCTAGAGTGGTTAAAGCACTTTAACGCGCATACAAAGACGCGCCAGGTGGGGGGGTACTAGCTGCTTATTTTGGACGGCTATAAGAGCTACCTTAACCAGCATTTCAAGGACTAATGCCTTGAACACAAGATCCTAACCCTCTGTATGCCCCCCCATTCATCGCACATCCTCCAGCTGCTTGATGTGGTCTGCTTCTTGCTGCTGAAGCGCAGGTACTCCCAGCGCGTCAGAGACTTGGCACGCCAACGCGTCTTCTATATTAACAAAGAAGGCTTCCTCCCTGCCTTTAAGGACGCGTTTTTTAATATATTTACAGAGCAGAACTGTTAAAAGGCTTTTAAGGCAGCAGGGCTAGTCCTAATTAACACGCAGGTTGTATTAGATTGCCTTAAAGTGCGGCTGCGTACCCTGCCAGAACCCCTCCTCCTAGAGACGCTATAGCAGTTAAAGACTCTAAGCAATACCTATAAGTTTAGATCTTAATTAAAGCTTGTACGTAGTTCCTTTACTTACTTGCCTGTTACAGCTTAGGCTGGTTTCTCCCAGCTTATAAAAGGTGGTGAGCTGATGCTGCATAAAAATGCGCTTCAACGTGCTTGGATCTATGAGCTTGAAGAGCAATTAGCAGAGATGACTAAGCAAAAATCGCGTAAGCGCAAGCGGATTCAGCAGGGTGGTACTATGGAGTATGGGACTGCTGCAGCGCAGGTAGCTGCTGAGGCATCTATAGCGCCTCAGCGATCCAAGAAGGCTCGTGGTGGTAGTGGTCAAGAACTAGCCTAACCAGCTCTTCAGCGCTGTAGGAACTGTAGTAGGACTAGGCACAATGCGCGAACGTGCAAAAAGGATATAGAGGTGTCCTTAGAATTAGATGCTAGTACAACGTACGCAGGCTCCCTATTTAATAGTGATAAAATTAAGGAGTTGTAGCATAGGTTGAGGCTGCCAAGAGATTTTGGGACACTCAGTGATGTGGGACACTCGGTGATAGTTTAGGTTAGTAGTAACAGGCTTAGAGAAGCCTAGGAAGCAGAAGAAGATCTAACCTAGCAATTGTAAGTAGATTACCCTAGTATAAGGCGTTAGGTTAATAGGGAAGGTTATCCTACTATTCCTTATCCTTGCAGGCAAGGTTCTTATCTCTAACTAGTTTACTAAGGACCTCCTATAGAACTAGGTTATTAATATTAGTCCTACTAGCTAGACTAATAATAATCTAGCGCTTGCCTAGCTCTACTACTTTAATACGCATGCAAAGCTAGTTAGGGTCTACTAGCTACTTATTATTAATGGCCATAAGAGCCACTGTTTAGTGGCTTTCCAAGATCTCTGCAGAGAGAAGAAGATAATCACTCTCTGTATGCCCCCACACTCGTCGCACCTGTTGCAGCCACTTGACGTCGCCTGCTTCTCGCCACTAAAGCGCCTGTATAGCGACAAG